AAATCGGCCGGGCTCGGTGGCTCAGCCTGTAATTCCAGCACTTTGGGAGGCCAAGGTGAGTGGATTGCCTGAGTCCGTGGGTTCTCAAGACCTTCCCGGGCAACTTGGCAAGACCTCATCTCTACAATAAATCAAAAATTAGCTAGGCGTGGCAGCACGTGCCTGTAGGTCTGGCTACTTGGAAGTCTGAGGCGGAAGGAATGCTGGAGCCCAGCAGGTCGAGGCTGCGGTGGCTGGGAGCGTGCCACTGCACTCCAGTCTGGGCGACAGAGTGAGACTCCAACTCAAAAAAAAAAAAAAAAATCAATCCACAAAGTCCAATATTGAATGTATAAGAGTTTCTCCAATAGAGAACAAAGCAAATGGAAGAGACAAGGCTATAAATAAATAATAGAAAATTTCCCCAAATTGAAAAACACTGGTCTCCAGCTTGTAAATGGCCACTATAGAAGTCAGTACATTGAATTTTTTAAACACAAAATACAACCCTCTTAACCTAAAGGCTCATCATTGTGCATTGCACATTTTCATATATCAGGCATAAAAAGAAGACCCTAAATGCTTCTAGAACAAAACAAGATCACTTTTATTTTATTTTTTTAATTTTTTCGAGTTGGAGTCTCACTCTGTCACCCAGGCTAGAGTGCAGTGGCACGCTCACCGCCACTGCGGCCTCAACCTGCAAGGCTCAGGCAATCCTTCCACCTTAGCCTTCCAAGTAGCTAGAACTGCAGGCGAGTGCCACCACATCCAGCTAATTTTTTGATTTATTGTAGAGATGAGGTCTTGCCATGTTGCCCAGGCTGGTCTTGAACCCCTAGACTCAGGCAGTCCTCTCACCTTGGCCTTCCAAAGTGCTGGGATTACAGGTATGAACCACCGCACCCTACAAGGTCACATGGGAAGGAACAGAACTTTAGAATGATACAGAAATTTTCAGCAACACAAGAAACTAGAAGATAAGGGAGCACTGGGTCTCAGAAATTCTGAGTGAAAATTATCAACCATATTTTCAGATATGCAGGGTTTATCAATGGAATGTGTTTGCCTGCAAGTAGTTAAAAAAAACCCAGGAAACACTGGCTTAAATAGATACAGAATCATTTTTCCCCCAGAACAAGAAATCCAGAGGCAGACTATCTGGGACTGGTGCAGTGACTCTGCAGCCATCAAGGCCCACAGGCTCTTTCTTGCTATTTTGCTCTCTCACATCAGGCTACAGCCTCATGGCAGCAAGTTTTCTGAGGCACCTCAAACATTATGCCTTTGTTATATACAGGAAAAAGGAAAGAAAGCAAAGCTTGCCCAGAAAGTTTCCAGTGGGCTTCTACTTAAATTTCATTAGAACTGGGAAGCCTGACTTAAAGACAGTTTGGGAAAACAAGTGTATAGCCTCTCTTGCCTTTATATAGTGCATGGAGAAAGGGGCTTGGAAATGGCTGTTGGATTGGACAATCAGCAGTGTTTCCAATGCAAGGTTTTTAAGAATGATAGCCCTTTTGTGCACTCCATTCTCAGGAAGTTACTTCACCATGTACATTAACAAAAAGGAGTAAAAATCTCAAGAAAAAAAATAGGAGCAAGGAAGAAGCGTATTCAGCACTGAAAAGCACTCAAAGGGTATCCCAGACAGCCCTTCCACAACTAGCCCAATGAGCATCCTGGCCATCTTAGAGCAGGAGGATGGATGTGGGGGGCAGTGGGGGACAGGGGGAGGGGCCAGTGGACCGCCCTTCCCCACCAAAAATGCGATTTCCAGATAAGAGTAGACTCAGTAGAGTTTCAGCATTTGGAATAAAAAATCTGATGTAAAAAATGAAGGGTAGCAACATAATGGGAAACACAAAAAATCTGCCCAAGAAAGGAGACGTTGTCACAGTCAATTTCTTGGCTCTACAGTGAGCAACATTTCCCTAATCACAATAATGCAAAACTGCAATCAATTTAACCAAAAATTGGGATGAAAGTTAGTGGGAAGATAGTTTAAGTGTAGTAAAAATCTTCATCTACTGCAACAGAAAGTCAGTAGGTAATGTTTAAAATAGAAGCTTAACTATATAATTTAGAAATGTGGAACTAAATAGCTAATAACTTGACTTACCCTACTCAGAATTACCTTGTTTATTTATTTTGTTATCGTAGGCTAGTATAGAGGTATATAATTTAATCTTTGACTTCTTCTGACTTTTAAGAGTTATTCTAACTTTCCATTACAATAATTAGGAGAAGAGAGGTAATACTCCTCATACAATCCTAATATGGCTCTCTGTGAAAAAATGAAGGTAATAATAATTGAGATGAGAAATGTGTGCTGAAAATTATAACTTGCTGGCCCAGTACTAGACTAAGAATACAGTGGAACAAGTCACCATGATCTTTCAAAGTGCTTAGAGTCTAGCTAGTAGCTGATACAGAATTGTAAGGGATAATAATAGCTACTGTTATTTAGACCCTACGATATGCCAAAATATCTTTAATTGGTAATATTATTCTAATTTATAAGATGAGAAAAATTGACATCAGGAAGTTAAGTAATACAGTTTGCATTGAGATTTAGAAGTTTGAGTGTAAAGAAGGTGTTCTTTCTATCATACTGAACCATGTCCCAAAATTAAATGAAAAGGCTGTCAAAGAGTGACAGTGGTAGAGACATAGTAAAAATATTCTCAATAGTAAGTAGGTTTTAATGACTATCACTTGAAAGTGTTTTAAAAATGAGTTAAAATTGTATAATTTACAAAATTGATTACCATGCTTCAGTCATGGTTATAGCTAGCCTTAGAGAAGTGTGGTAATTGCTCTT